CTAGAAGACCTGAGTGGTCTAGGAGGTTGATACACTGACAACAAATCTGTTATATATTGAGGTTCTGCTCCATTTAGTTATTTATACGTAGACTAACAAAAGGGTTTTAAACCAGGTAAGTGACTCACACCGATAAACATCTTCAGTCAGATTATCGTGGTCACTTACCTGTGTTTCTCTCACAACCAGAGTGCCAGTGATGGGTGTTGCCCTGCCTCCCCCAGCAGCCGCTGCATGTCCACAGATCCACATCAGCCCACATTCTGTTCTGTTTCTGTTTATTTTTATCATTAAACGTTTTGAAACTTCTCACTGTCTGTCTCGCCTGAATACTGGTACCATCTGTCCCGTTTTATGACACCACATAAGGGATATGTAAATGATTTGAATCAAATCAGACTCTAAAACCTTCTTACTAAAACCTGTGAGTAAAACATTAAGACAACAGGAAGAGGAACTTAGCTGATGAACAGTTTCTTTTAAACCTTTGCAGTTTATTCTAACTGGAGACAGTATTGGTACTGGAGTTGGCATTAATGTACATACTGCTTTTCTAATACTTTGTATCTTCTCTGTAAAAAAACTTTTTAAAAAGTCATTAAAGGCCCTTTACAGAACCATAAGCATATGTAAATTTTAAATTGCTGTATCCATGATAACATGATTTCTTATAACATTTCCTTTGGTATTTAGATCAGTGAGAAAATGGTTTCAAATTAAACTGAAAAATGCTCTAATAGGACAACCACAGTTAACTAAACATTAGAAATATTTAGACTTTTACTGATGACCAGGTCCAAAATATGTCCTTGATTGTGTGTTAGCTGTTTAATATGTTCAGTCAAACCAAAAGTTTTAAGTATATCCCACAGTTCCTAAGCAAGTTGTAATGTGTAATACATATCAGAGATAAAAATGAATATGGACTTTGGACGGCTATAAATAATGATAACCATGGCTCGAACAGGGCCTTTTCTAAGAAAGCCAGATATTAAAAAGATTCACCCAGGATCACTTTTCTACACTGTATTGAATCATTAAACAGAGTAACAAATCCTCTCCATTTTTTAAACACTGTTCTGATGGAGAAAATTGTAATTGGGAGGTGCAGCCTCCGATAAAATCGCCAACTCGTTATTTTCATTCAGCCATGTCTCAGTTAGAAACACAAAAATCAAGATTTTGCTGAGTAATTGATTAAAAATAAATTTCCTGACAGAGATCTTGTGTTAATTAAAGCCAGTTTAAATACCTTGGATTATTTGTCAAGCTGGTTAAGGACAAATTCTTTAAATATAATAAATATGGTTTAACACCTATTAGTGGTGGTCTGTGCAGAATGTCTTTTTGTTGTTATTTGGGGACATTTTTGTACTGCTCTTTTTTGAGATATTGATAGAAAAAACAAAGTTCAATAGGTCAGGCAGTCCCCACACATAAAGACCACGCTCCAAGCATGATGTGCATTTTGTGAACCTGAAGAAAGAAGGCAACCAAGACACTTAATGATCAGTTTCAACTCCAACTGCCTGAATTTGCTTACTGGAAGCAGTGACTGTTTACCAACATTTAAACAGTCACCAAGCCCCCCTAAGGTGGAGTTCATCAACCATACGGATATTGTCAGCCTCTTGCATCCATAGTACCAATTTCCTTAGATGAAGTTATGTACAAGGAAATCAAGAAATCCTCTTTTTTTTTCAACCACACCAAACTAGCTCATAGTTATGCATATTATGTCACAACTTCCAATTATTCATGAAAATATCTTATTGACCCCCCAGTTTTGCTTTCCTACTCCAAGCAGTGGAAAATATGAGCAAGGACCCACCAGAACCCTTGCCTAGGCCAAAGGCTTCGGTTATTTAAAAAAGTAATGTCATATTTTCTTTTTTAAATAATTTCTAAAGCAAATTTAAAATTTACTTTAAAACTGAAACAAATGATTCACTGTTCAGTCTGCATATACGATCAGTTATGGGGCAAAAAGAGTTTATATTAATACAGTGAGTGTCCTTTTAATAAAATAAAATAAAATAAAAAACATCTGCTGAGCTAGTATTAATAGTTTCCAAGGAAATTAAATTAAAAACATGTTTTATTAGGACTTTTTTCATATTTTGGTTTGCAGGACAAAAAGAGGGACTGATGTTCTCCCAGACTACAGCCAGGATCCATTTAATTTCTCTGCCCCTGTCTCTTTTCCTCCTGATTTACCCTAACAGGGTTTTCTTGAGAACTAAATCTACTTAGGATTTATTGTTTTCTTATTATTTCTCATCACTGAAAATTTTAATCCTTTCACCTAATCCCTCCCTACCTCCCTCTAGTTCAGATCATATTCATCAAGATCATCCCCCCCGGTCTGTAAAAAAGCAAGAACCCAGCACAACAGAGAGGTCTAAAGAGATCGGGCACTGAAACATGGGGGTTTCTTCCAAATGAAATTCAGTTCCTCTGATGTAATCAAGACGAGACTCCAGAGACGACAGTATAATCTCCCTGGGACATGCTTCCCTTGCTTGCACGTTATTAAAAAAGAGGGAGGAACAAATCTTTAGATTGAAAGACCAAAAAAATGGAATTATGATAAATCGCAGAAATCTGGGGCAAGGTTGGATAAAGCCTTCAGATACAGATGAGGGACAAATCTTCACTATGGGCATGTGTGTGTGTGAATGGGGGAGAGTGCACAGGCATGCACTGTAATGTGTTTGCTTTGGTTGATTATAAAATATTTCAATTCACTCAAGATCCAGTCCCTGACCTAAGCCCTCCCTGTCCACTTATGTGGGAGGTTTGGAGGGGGTGGACACCAGATCTAACTTAGAGCTGTCTGACAATAAAAGTAAGATATGTATGTTTGCTCTGGTACTTTGTGGGCCCATTAACTAAATTCAGTTTTATCTGTACTTACAAAAAGCATCCACATGATGGCACAATATGACAAAAGTGTGAGGGATTGCATTTGAGTCAATGAGTCGATGCAATCAACTGGTTTTCCTTAGATAGAAAACTTTGAATCAATTTGACTCTATGATCTGATTGAACTGTAAAGTGCCTTGAGATGACATGTGTTGTGAATTGGAATATAAATATATATATCAATAAACTGAATTGAATCGAATTGAAAAGTGGACACCCGCAGTCTTCTCTAAGGCTCTGTATTATTCTCCTCTTTTCTATTTTGCTATGATAAAGAAATGTTAAGTTATGTTTATTAACCAAGTATATGTTGTAGAGCAATCCACTTCAATTCGCCTTAGCTTTTTTATGTAAATAATTAGAGTGATTATGAGGAATAAATGCGTTGCTGTAAAACTGTGATGCAGTATAGACAGTCACCACCAGATGAAGCTACAGTACAGGGTGAATTAAGATAAATTGGGATGGTTTTTTCAAGTTCTATTTTTCAGCTCACTTAGGTTAAAAATCACAAATTGTACATTTTTCAGTTCCCCAAGATTATAGCTTACTTTATGTAATATTATCAAGAATTTTCAAAAAAATTTTGTATTTAGGGATCATCTTGAAATATTAACAAAAAAGTTTTTTACTTACCTTCAAATTAAAAGAGAGTGAGGTCGCCCTTCTCTAGCTCCATTCACCCTGTCCTCCCTTCTCTTCTTCTTTTTCCAAAGTGAAATTTTCCATTTTAATTTTACCTGAACTTTTTTCCATATCATAGTGTCCCTGAACATGATATTATTATTTTTACGTGTAATAAGATAACCAATAAAGAAAAAAATAAACAGAGTGAACAAGAGTGTTTACAACATGTGCATGTATCAATGTCTAATGCTATTAGACTAAGAACACCATTACTTCTACACGAAACCACAATTGGTATGATATATAAAGTATACTTAGTTACCCAGACATTTACATTGGGGTAAAATTATCTGAGGGTTGAATTGTGTCTTGCCAGGTTTTAAAAGCCAAAGAGAAAAAATGGGTTTTGACAAGGGATTTAAAAATAGTCAAAGAAGTGGAGTGGGAGTGGTGACCTAGTGGTTAGGATTAGGGCATTATGCTTGGATCCCAGAGGTTCTGTGTTCAAGACCCACTCCCACTGACTGCCACTCTGGGTCCCTGAGCATGACCCATAACCCCACACTGGTCCCTGCGCGCCCCACAATGGCAGCCCACTGCTCCCAAAGGGTTGTGCAGAGAGATAATTTTGTTGCTTTGTGCTTGTGACAATGTAATGACAATAATAATGTTTCATCAGAAGAGGTCTGTCTAATGTGCTGAGACAGGTCATTCCAGAGCTGTAGAGCTGCAGCAGGGAAAGCGTGGTCCACTCTGAACTTCCGCTTAATTTTAGGCTCTCTCAGGAGCAGCTGACCAGCTGACCTGAGAGAGCGAGTAGGTCTATAAGGATGTAGAAGCTCAGAGAGGTATGGTGGGGTAAGCCCATTCAGGGACAGGGTTGGACCTGTGTTTCTTTCAGTATTTCTGTGTGAGTTGAATCTCAAAGAACCTGTAGAGGGATCTTAACAGTGTGATGGCAACTCCCTTGATGGCTCTGCCCGTGAGAAAGACAGTATTTGCTGATAAGCTGCAAGCCAAGTTTAGCTCTTTTAGATAAGCTGGACAAAAAAGACTCTCAGAGCCACTTTTATATCTTGACTGAGTTTTGAAAGACTCTTACAGATAAGGTACGGCTACCCTAAAGGAGGGAGAGAAATGAGAATTCATAAGCTAAGACATAAAAGAAAATTACAGGCGTGACCTAATAGCATGACATTCCTTTAAAATAATTTAATGGAACTGTAATTGAATTTCATGCAAAACTGTTTTAATATTGTTTCCTGGGAGGGGATCCACCTAAAATACCTTTTCCAGGTAACTTAATTGGATAAAGGCTGTATATTATTTTTTTCCAAAACTAATACATTCATACAAGTACATTCATAGCCTACTGCATTCTGAAAATGCAACAGTATAGGGTGACGCCCAGCACTTAACACCAGTGTCTCTGCCACACCCTCCTCATCCTCCACGAAGTCCAGGCTCACACTGAAACTGGGTTACACAGAGCAATGACTGGCTTCATTGAGGGAATTGAGAAATTTGACAGTCCTGGAAAGGGACGAGGTCTCCGGGTTACAAGGCCTTTTAAAGTCGGCGAGCTCCTGTTTTCCAGCCCGGCGTATTCTTATGTCCTGTCAGTCAACGAGAGAGGCAACAGCTGTGATTTCTGCTTCAACAGGTAGAAGTGCAAGAGTTAGTCTGTTAAAGATATTTATCTGAATGAATAGATACAGTTAGAAATGTCTCTTTGAACATGTCTCTTAACTCAGTAATTCTATATCTGGTGGAGTCACAGAACCTATCACAGCATAAAATCTATTTTAGTTCTGCCTGTGCCTCGTCTTTCTGAGCCAAGGCTACATAACTTTTATATCTATCACCTTCTCACAGATAATGTTGTTTAGTCATAGCTTATACACCACATTCTTTTTAAATGTTATTTATCAGCCAATAAAGCAAAGCTTGTGGACATTAAGCTATAGTTTCACGCAATCATGTCTTATAGGAAAATTGGATTTTAGGTGAATTGTAAGCAAAAGGTCAGTAGCAATCAGTTTTATCAAGCATTATCAAAATATTTTTCCAATCTTTTATGACACATTATATATATTATGAACAATATACTGTCTACTGAGCAGCTCATTTGGACTGAATAAGATGGAAATGTCTCAGAAATCTGGACTGGTTTGCTGTTTCTGTGTTACAGAGACAACTGGTCCTTCTCTGGATCAGTTCTATTTATACTCCAGAATGTCTGAAAGCTCTTCTGCAGGCCACCAGCAACTGTTCATTCTTATCCACGAGGCATGACATTTTAATGTTTGTAGTAAAACATTCATTACAGCAAGATACTTTGACACAATGAGCTTCACACAGCCAGATACACTTATAGACATAAAACTAAATGAATAATATGATGTATGATTTAGAGGAATATAAACTTTCTTTTTTTGTTGCTTGGGTGTCTTGGGTCTCTATTTTTATATATGATAGAGGCAAATAAAAATCTAATAAAGTTTTCTGTTATAGGAAAGAAGGTCTGGCAAGATGTGGGAAGTGCAAAAAAGCTTTCTACTGCAATGCAAAGTGCCAGGTGGGAAACACTGGGACACAGTGGGTAAACTAAATATCGAACCTATCCCCATTACATTTCTATAGTATCAATATACATGAAAATGTCACAAGGTGTTGGTAACAACTCATCAATTCCCCACATGCAAAGAAATCAAACTAAATTATTTGATAGATTGTGTTATTTTAGAAATAAAGTAGGATAAATCCAGGGCAAAAGATTTAAAATGCTCACTGAAACATTTTAAGACCTACAAAGGGCTTTGTAAAGCCAGATTGCTGATGCCTCTATTATACAAGTCATACAGACTGCTCAGGTGGCATTTTGGACTATGCTTCCTCTTGAGCTTTAAATCCTTAAAGGAACAATACGTGAAATTTCACCGATAGTTTGGGCTGTTGAGCAATGTCTGTAGGCCAAAACCAGATGTGTGAAAAAGTATGACTTGCTTTACCTCCACTCCAGCTGCAGCCCCACCCTTTTTACCCCATGGTGACAAAAGTTAAGTACACAGCACAACAGCCTTGGATGAGGAACATGTTTAATGAAAAAGCAAGTAAAATTTTACTTTATAATGCTATTAGCAAGTCAACTTCTGGTGGTCTCCCCCACTTTGTCCCTTTGCTATGGCCCTCCTCTCTCTGGGCAGGGCCACACCACTCACATGGATGTACCTGCACTAGCTGCCAGCCTAGCATTTCCATCAGCAGTGGAGTATGATGTTTAGAGCATTACTTGATGTTTTCTTTTTTTTTTTTTTTATCAAATGACCTGATAATTACAGAAATTCTGTACATTTGGCTCTCAGATAATTTATCTAAAGATTAAATTCTGTGCTCTGAAAAACTCTGTCATGGGTAGATTTTTTTGTTGCGTTCTTTACGTATCGAGATTTCGGCCTAAATGGTGTAAACTTTTCCTGATAATGTTTGCTTAGTACATTTTGTGTGCAAAAAATATTTTTTGCACTGAGTGCAAACAGCAGATGTAAATATTGTTGCACATAGCTCCAGTACTCTACAGTACTCCATCAGCTTGCAGTACTTACTTACAAATCCATCAACTTTGCTTTTGAACTTTTAGCCCATGGTAGAATTAGCACCAGAGTTCATGTTATATACATTTATATCAATTGAAAATAAATTAAAAAAGGGTTCTCATCAATTTTTCATGATTCTTACTAGGGATGCACGATATTGGGATTTTGGCCGATATCCGATATGCCGATATTTTAAAACTCATGTAGCCGATAACCGATATTGATACT